GTTACTCTCATTGAGTAACGTAACGGAATATGTTACTTTGGGGCATGTAATCTGTAATCTGTAATCTGTAGTGGAATGCATTTTGAAAGTAACCTTCCCAACACTGACAGCATGGTCAGTAAATTTGAATTAATGCCATTTTCTGTAGACACCGTAGTGGGAAAGTTCCCAGAATCATCCCAGTTCAAAATGGACAGTAATCGGTTGTAAACTGGCCAGCTCCCACTGAGCCCTGCAGTCGTTTTTCTCCAGTATTTCAGTGTGTCTGCAGCAGCCTGTTTTGGTGCATGCTACGTAGGAGATCGCTAAACTGTGGAGAGTCCTGAAATGATGGTGGAAGGTTTTAGTTTCTACGTGGTGGAAACTGTGAGATCTGTGTTCTTCTTTCTACAGTTATGAGCCAGAGCTGCACAACCGCCTCATCCTCGACCAGATCACCGGCATCAGAGTGTCCTTCCTCTCAGCCCGGTGCATAAACGTGTGCGGTGAGCCTGTCCACACGTCACAGTTCAATTAAAAATGCTGAAAAAACTGACTGAAAAACTGACCTTTTGTGGACGTCATCATGAGTGTATGTCCTGTGTCACACTGCAGGAGCTAAAACCAGGGCTGAGGTCGATGAAATCTTTCACACCGTCTGCAGAGTCCTGAGAGAGTACAGGTGGGAGCGAACATGCAGCGGCGCTTTGACTTCAAAGCCGAACTGATGTTAGAGGCAGACATGAATAAACTGACGCGTGAGCGCCACTGCACTCCTGTAGTTCCTGATTGTACCACTAGATGTCAGCACGGCTGCAGGCCGCTCTCAGTGAGACGTGCAGCTCTGTACCTCGTGTGTGTTTGCATCACTCACTCAGGTCAGGGTCACCTGAGAACGAGCAGGAGGCCTGTGGCTGGACGTGACCTGCTGAGTGACTAACACGTCACTGCATCCTGATATCCTCTGAAACAGGTGACGTTATTCACAACCTGCCCTTCATTAACTCAGCATTCAGTCGCATGGAGCTCAGACTGGACGGTTTGAGCTTCCATCATAGTGCATGCTGGGAAGTCTGGGATCGGCCTCGTTACCTGGCGTTTTACTTTGGTGGGCGTGGCTGTGAGCCTCACCTTTCCTGAGGTGGCGGGAGGTCAGATTCACGATGAGTCATGAAAACGCGTCGTTCGGTGTGTTCTCTGTGACCCGCTGACCGCGGGGATGGAGGCCCTTCCCGTCGTGTCTCCAGGGCTGCATCAGGAGGTGAGGTCATCCGGCCGCTGACACGCCCAGTCTGCATGAAAGCAGTGAATTATGGGAACACTTTCTCTGTGCTTTTCCTCCCCTCACTGAGGCTCTCAGTCAGTTTCATCTTTTTGAGTTTCACAGTTTGAAATTTCTTTTTCAGGTTTTTGGGACAGCGACTGCTCATCGTGTGCTCGCGACCTCCTCGCCTCGAGCTGTTCGCATCCTGTCACTCTTGCTCCATTTGGCTCATGTCTTTCCCTCTCTAATAACATCCTCGACTTCCTCTGATCCTAATAATACCAAACAACAATCGTCCTGACACTCACACTTCCTGAACTCCCCACTCTCTCTTTCTTCTTCGACATCGAAGCTCCGTGTTTGCTTCTCTGGTGGAAACGAGCTGAAAGTTTGAAACGTTTCCATTCTGTGTCCAAACACAAGTTATTATGTAACAATTCTGTTAACATGGAAGACAAAATACAATCACAGAGGAAATATGCTCAGTTTCTAATTTATTATCACAAACTGCCTGATGAGCTCATTTATAGAGTCGCTGCTTTTTAAAAGTTTTGTTTATATATTATATTGCCTCTGACATTTACCACAAACTCAAACTAGAAATCGGGAGACTGAAACTAAAGTGAATGTTTAAAAACATTTGAAGTGAATGAAAATAAAAATAAGAAAACAAACAGTAATAAAGCT